CATTAAAACTTGATTACCTGAGACAGATGCTAGGCTCTTTCCAACCACTCAAAAGAAGTTTAATTGAAGATATTAAGACCAAGCTAGTGTGGCCCTCGGTAAGACCACGGTCTCCTTTCTATGTATATAGGTGAGTTGACCTCGTTTTCGCAACTCTGTCTTGTTGTCATGGCGACTTAGGTGGATGCACCTTGTCCGAAGTCCTCCCCCATAATAGGTATCATAATTCCCAACATCAGACCGTGGACTTGGTACATAGTCCCACATCTCTCCCGAAAGGTCATTTCATTTTGTGGTACCCGTAGCAGTGCAGTTGAGAGGTAAAACCGCCAGGACACAATCCTGTGTCAAATCACGCAGGGGAGGCTGATGTGACCTAGGTGAGGTCAAAACTACAGTTCGCCCGTGATGAAATAGCCCTTTGGGAAGAGAGGCTGCGTTAAACTCGATAGTTTCGGGAAGCCTATTCCTCTGGCTGTAGGAAAACTCAACTGCCAATCTTTAAATCACCTGAAACGACCTAGGCTGATTAAGTTCTTAGTTAAGAAGTAATGATCGTTTTAAAAATTACATTTACTGAAAATAGGTTCCCTTGGATGATGTCAGTCGAATGGTAAAAAAGACGAAATCTCGGCACTTATTTACCGGACTTCAAGGAGGCCTTTATGAGGTCTTCGTAGCACAGAAACATTCAATAAACTTAAAATATTAAAAAATAAACAAAATCCGCCGTTGACTTCTGATTTTTACCGAGTTACGGGTCTGTCAATCACACTCACAAAGGGAAAATAAGCTCAACCGAATTTGTGCACATTCGTCAAATTCCAACCACTGACTGACCAGTTCGTGTGAAAAGATGGAAAGAAACGGAGTTCTCACAGATTCACGTCGCCGTTAAAGTAATCACTCCTAATTCATGATTTGCTCTGAACCTCGACTCATCAACTACGTCTCTGGGTAGTCAATGGGCCGCTCTCTTGCCTTGAGCAGCTCACATTATCACTTTAGGTCGGAGTTAGGGCCCAAAAGAAGCAGCCAAGGCATATTCGCAGCCCTCCACAATCTGGGCTTCGGCGTATTCACACCATGCATACACACTACTCCGTCACAACTACGTAGAGGGTTGGGAAGAGAATGACTGGCCAACTGTTCCATCGTCTAGTGTTATAGACACAGTCAAACGGTCTGGCAACCAGACTCCCGGGACGACAGGAGACGACGGTAATTAAATCGGGGCCAATCCACTCATGCCGAGTGTCCACTTTATTGTCTAATCTGCGAGACCATGGAATAGTAGACGTCGGGATACAATCCCAGATAAACGAAGGTTGCGATCAGCAGACCCGAGGTGGTCACAATTCCGAGTAGATTGAGGATCAGAGCAGTCCGGCCGTACCACAGGGAGGCGCGGTAGTTGCGTTTTGGGATGAAGGCGGAGGCGAACAGGAGGCCGGCCCCAGCACTGCGTTGAGGCAGGCGTCCCGAGAGGCCGAGCAGCTGATGCGACCGGATTGAACAGACCAGAGCCATTCCACCAAATGGAAGGTTGATAAAGATGGCGACCAGACAAGACATCATCAGATAGGTGACTCGATGCTCGGTGTTGACGTTCACCAGACATTCGGCTTCATGATCGTCTGCCGGTGTCGCCGGCTCACTCGTGGCACCGATCTGTGCGTCTGACCCGGGCTGTACCGGCACCGCTCGGATCGTGGCTGGGTCCGAAGGAAGCTCGGCCGATAGATACATTCTTTCGGGTCTGCCTCATCGGCAGGAGACAGCTGGCGTCAGGGTAAAGTGAGGTCTGGTTGGCCAGTTGTAATAACCAGTCTGTGAAG